AGAGCAGACCAGCAGCCTGAATTTTATTTTGCAGCAAAGGAGAAGAGAACCAAAGAGCTTCATAAGAGGCACACAGTGTGGTATAGTATGGGATGGGATGGTGTGGGAAGGTATGGTATAGTATGGTACAATTTGGTACAGTATGGTATGTATGGTGTGGTAGGTACAGTAAGGTGTGGGATGGTACGGTGTGGGGCAGTGTGGATGGTATGGTATGGTATGGTATGCAATGCATGGTGTGGTACAGTGCGGTATAGTAGGCACAGTAGCTATGACAGGTGTGGTAGGTATGGTTTGAATTGGTTCAGTTTGGTTGTGGTATTAGAGATGGAAGCCAGAGCCTCACACATATTAGACAAGTGCTTTAGGACTGAGCTATACCCCCAGCCCAAGGGACTACAAATTTTAAGATGTATCCAAAGCAAAAATAATTTACAAGTGTTTTCTTTGTAAATATACTTAAAATGACATGTAGAATTTTGCAGAAAACCAGAAGCTGGGCATAGAGACAAATAAAATATGGCTGCCTGAGTTAAATTACCATGACATTGAACTTTAGATCTCTGGTTCATTTCAAAGACCATCAGAGCACACTGTAAAAAGGACATGATCCCATATTTATCATCTTCCTAGAATCAATAAGTTACAATCACTAACATAATAATGTCCTGCTGTTGTGGCCCAAACTTCAGTATTAGGGATTTAAATTATGATGAGTATCCACTTCCAAGTATCTAACATTTTTCTGTAATGGTTTGTCCTGTCCTCAGCCTGATTCCCCTGGCTGTAGCCTTAAAGGGCAATTTTTAAAAACTGAATTTGAAAAGCAGACACTTGGGGGCTGGGGATGTGGCTCAAGTAGTAGCACATTCACCTGGCATGCGCAGGGCGCTGGGTTCAATCCTCAGCACCACATTAAAATAAAACAAAGATGTTGTGTCCACTGAAAACTGAAAAGTAAATATTAAAAAGTTTTGAAAAGCAGACACTTATGAGATCTAGAAAGCAGGTCATCAGCTGTTTAGATATAGTTTCAGCTGCCATGAAACACTAATGCCCTCATTTAATGTGTGACAATTCTACTGACACAGTTTGACCTCTGCAGAGAACTTGTAGAGCATAGATGGGATCTCATTTGTTTTCCATTTCCCCCAAAGCCAACTCAATTTTTCCATTTTTTGTTGTTAATGATATACAGAAGATGGGCAGAACCCAACAAGTCACAGAGTGAATCCATCAGGTCAGCATTTACAATCAAGGTCTTTTTCCACGGCTAGAAGAGTAGGCGAGGACTTCCTTCTAAGCTCACACTTTCCCCGCCCCCCTGTACTGGTAGAACCCAGGGCCTTACACATGCTAAGCAACCGCTCTGCCACTAAGCCTCATTCTGGCCCTTTTTTATTTTTAAGACAGGGTCTTGCATATTTGCACAGGCTGGCCTCCAACTTGCAATCCCCCTGCCTTAGCCTCCTGAATAGCTAGAACTATACACATGCACCACCACACCTGACTCAGCTGTTTTCTATTTTTGTGTGCTGGAGATTGAACCCAGAACCTCATGCATGCTAGCCAAGCATTCTTTCACTGAGCCACATCCCTAGCCCTTAGCTAGGGTGGTTTTTAAAATACCTTTTTTCCATATATATATATATATTTTTTTTTTTTTTTTTTTTTTTGGACACTGCTGGGAATGGAACCCAGGGCTTTGTATAAGCTACGTTAAGTGCTCTACCTCTGAACTACATTCCCAGCCCAGCTATTGTTTTTAAGGGAAGTATGAGATTAAAATAGGTCTAGGTTACAAAGGAGTTCACTAATTTTTTTATCCAAAATTTTATTTGAAAACAGTACTTTTCAGATGATGAATATACTGACCAAAATCATAAATAATAAAATGTATATTGATACATAATAAAACTTAAGAATGAGTAGCATCCACCAATTTCTTTAGAACATAAAAAAATAACATTAAAATTGATCAGCAAAAAATAGGAAAAGATACATGTACAAGGCTATATATTGTAACCCTCCTTGTAATACATTTGCAAATTATACAAATGCCCATTAATGGGCTGAATAAACCATATAGCACAACCACACAATGGAGTACTATGCAGTAAAAAAAAATAAATGAATGAAACTATCTCAACATATTACTATGGAGTGGTGGCCAAGACACTGTAAAAACAAGATTGAAAATAAAAGTATGTTGGCTGGGTGTGTGGTTCAGTGGTAGAGCACTTGCCTACCACGTGTACATGGATTCAATCCTCAACACAACATAAAAATAAATATGGTATTGTGTCCATCTATAACTAAAAAAATTTTTTTTAAAGTAGGTAAACCAGGCATGGTGGCACATGCTTATAATCTCAGTGACTCAGGAGGATCGAGTTCAAAGCCACCCTCAGCAACTTAGTGAGGCACTAAGCAACTCAATGAGGCCCTAAGCAACTCAGTGAGACCTGTCTCTAATTTAGAAAAAAAATATATATATATATAAAAGATTAGGGATGTGGCTCGGTGTTTAAGCATCTCTGAGTTCAATCCTTGGTACCAAAAGGAAAAAAAAAGTACATAAAGTTAGGTTGCATATCTCAAAAAAAGTAGAAATATGTGTGTATACACACACACACACACACACACACATATATTTGCTTACATTTTTTAAATGTAATGATAAACCATAACTTTTCAAACTGTGGCTAAAATATATGAAAGAAAGAACAAAATAGAAGATAGACATCTGAGCCAGGAACGGTGGCACACTCCTGTAATCCCAGCAGCTCAGGAGGCTGAGGCAGGAGGATTGAAAGTTCCAAAGTCAGCCTCAACAATTTAGCAAGGCCCTAAGCAAATTAGCAAGACAGTCTCAAAATAAAAGGGGCTGATGATGTGGCTCAGTTGTTAAGCAATCCTGGTTGAATCCCTAGTACGAACAAAAAGAAGATATATGTCTTTTAAAACATTCTGGTTTTTTATATTTGATTTTAGAATCAAACTAAGTATTTTACAAAATTATAAATCTTAACAGAAGAAATTTCTAAAATTCAAACAAAAATGAAATAAGTTAATCATATGTCCAGTTAGCAGATAACCACCCAGAGGACTAACCAATGAGTGGAAGGCAGACTACTAATCTGACTAAACATCTCTAAAGGATTAAAAAATTCCTTGGAGGGCCGATGAGTAGTTAGTGGGAGGGCCCACGCTTAGACCCTAGGTTAAATCCCCAGCACCAAAAAAAAACCCTCTAAAAATAAAGACTCTGACTCTTCATGCTCATCATCACTTTCTCCTTGATGCATTTCGTTGTTTTTCCTCTCAACTGGAAGCTCCTTTAAAGGCCGACCCCAGGTTCTTTTGTTCACCACAGGGTTCATGGCTCTAACCCAAAGCCTGGTGTGAGAATAAACCTGGATTCAAGTCCCTGGTCAGCGCTGTGGAGCAAGCAGGGTGCATGTGCCAATCTGCATTCATCTCTGTGCTATGGAGATGGAGCAATCTACTTAGCCTCATTGGGCTTTAGGCTTCGGGTCTGTAGGATGGAAACAGCTCACCAAGCTGCTCTGGCCCACTATGGTTAAAAGGACAGGATCTGCCTGTTCATTATTGATTCATTCATTCCACAAATGTTCGTAAATTTTAAAGACCTATAAGAAATATGGAATAATCACTCCTACAAAACAGAACGTAAAAATAAAATGATGTAAACATTAGCTAAATGTAAATATTCATACAACAAATATTTATGGCATTTCAGCTTGGTGCCAGGCACCGTGCTCCATACTGGGGATAATGCAAGAGACAACACGTCAAGGGGCTGGGGTCATGGCTCAGTGGTAGAGCGCTTGCCTCACATGTGTGAGGCACTGGGTTTGATTCTCAGCACTGCATATACATAAATGAATAAATAAAGGTTCATCAACAACTAAAAAATAAAATAAAGAGTAAACACGCCAAAATCTTTGGGAAGAATTTTTCTGGGTTTGGTGTTTACTTTGGTTGTTGTTTTTTGGGTTTTTGTTGTTGTTTTGGTTTGGTTTGGTTTGGTTTGGTGCATTGTTCTGGAGGTGCTGCAATACAGGTAGCTACATGGAGTGAGTGAAGCCAAATCCTATTCCATCTCCTATTTCCAAAAATCCATTTAATATATTGTCTTCAGATAGAGGATGCATCAGATATTAAATTGTCAAGAACAGATACTACACTTGATCTTAGCCAAAAGGCTTCGATTGTTTTTTTTTTTTTTTTTTTGTATTAGAGATTGAACCCAGGGCACTGGACCACTGAGCTACATCCTCACCCTTTTTATTTTTTATTTTGCAACAAGGTCTCATTAAACTGCCTAGGCTGGCCCCAAATTTGCAAACCTCCTCCCTTGGTCTCAGCCTCTAGGATTAACAGGTGTGTGCCACTGCACAGGGCTGTGAAGAGGTCTTCTGTCAAACAGACAAGGAGAAAAAGAAAGAGATCAGAGTATCAATAGGCAAGTGACATGTAAGAGTGCAAAAGGAACCACAGCACATGTTCACTGGGGACATTCTACCTAGGTGGGTTTCAGGAGAGAAATCAGTCTACTTGACTTCCTAGAGTTATCAGTTTGAAACTCCAAATTAAAGCAAACTTGAACTTTTTCTCTTGGACTCATTCACATCAGGCTACACAGTCTTTTCAAAGACCCCAGTGAGTGCTAGAAATCTCCAAAGGAATCAGATCCCTTTGTTTTTCTGGGGTTTGGCCAGCAATCCACACCAAAAGAGCCAAATGGAGCTGCTGGCTCAACCCCATAACACTAGCTGCCAACTCCCTTTTCTGAGAACACAATGCCCTTCCATTTCAAAGAAGCCCCCTCAGCAACTTGTTCCACGTCAATCAATGGCTGAGTTACGGAAGGATGCAAAAGTCTTTCAGATCCAACTCCAAACATGAGGCAAACTTCTTTTCTATTAAAAATAGAATTTAATCATGCACATAAAAACAGTTTCTTAATACCTTACCTCAAACTCTTCCCAAAAGCCTTGTTTAACTTTATCTGTAGTCTCAGCTAATTTGCTTAGTTCTCGAACCCGGCTCTCTATTTCAGCAGCATTAATCCGAGTGGTGTTGAGAGGCTGACCAAGTTCGGTAGTTGGTGGAAAAAGAAGAAAATGTATTTTAAAAAGATGATAATGCAAATAAAAAGACTCCTGTGGTGGTATTCACAAAGGCCCAGGGGAGTGGGGGGGTCACAGGACACAGTAATTCACAACATTCTTAATGTGCTTTCACTTTTGGTTCTGTTCTGTCAGAAAGTGCATCTTTCTTCAAATGCAAACTTATTTTTCTTTGCAAACTTACTTTTCTTTGTGAATAGAAAACTATTTACAGATGAAATCATGTTAACAACTCCAAAGTAAGCGTGATCACCTAAAGATAACCAAAGGAGGATTCCCCGGGAAAACTTGCTTTAAAAACTCTATGAGAGGGCTCGGGTGTAGCTCAGTAACAGAGCGCTTGCCTAGCATGTGCAAGCCCTGGGTTCAATCTCCAGAACTGCAAAAACAAAAACAAAACTATAAGGGGGCTGGGGTGTAGCTCAGTGGTAGAGCTCATGGTAGAGCTCATGCTTGGGGCCCTGTGTTCAATCCCCAGCACAAAAGAGAAAAAAAAAAAAAATTCAAAAAACTTCATGAGGTCTTTACAGATACATATGGAAACATAAGATATAACATCTGGAATCTGTTTCCAAATCCTACAAAAAGTAGCCATGAGTAACAAATGAAGACCTGATGAATTGATCAAGACTGAAGATGGGAGGTAGGTTAAGTGGAAGCTGCTGAGACTACTCTGTCCACTTCTGTGTTAGACTATGGATCTCGAATGTCCCCCAGGGGGCCATGTTTTGGAGGCCTGGTCCCCAGTTCATGGCACATGGGGAGGTAGTAGAACCTTTAGAGAGAGGGGCCTAGTGGAAGGAAGCTGGGTCACTGGGGACGTGCCCCTGAAGAGCATATGGGGATCCCAGCCCCTTACTGTCCTTCTCTTTGCTTCCCAGGCCCCCTGAAGAGAACAGGCCTCCTCCTCCACACACCCCTGTATGCTGTACCATGCTGTCACACCCAAAGTAACAGAGTCAAGAGCTCATGGACTGAATGTTCTCTCCGACATGAGGAAGCTAATGCACACTGGGGGGTGGGGGTAAGGTAGACCTCATTGGATTAGACACAGGGGAATGGAGGAAGGGAGGGGGAGGGAATAGGAAAGACAGTAGAGTGAATCGGACAGAACCTGCCTATGTTAAGATATGAATACACCAACAGTGTAACTCCACATCATGCACAGCCATAAGAATGGGAAGTTATACTCCATTTATGTATAATATGTCAAAATACATTCTACTGTCATGTATAACTAAAAGAATACATAAAAATTAAAAAAAAAAAAAAAAAAAAAGAATCCATGGGCTGCAACCATAAGCCCAAATAAACCTTTTCTTATTAAGTTGTTTCTTTTACGTATTTTATCACAGTGACAGAAAGCTGACTGACATTCTGCATGTGTGGGAAATTCTAATTTAGAATATTTTCAAATTCTTTAAGGAAAAGGAGTTTTCCAATACGCTCACCTGCTTGAGTTGTAGCACTGTGCCCAGTGTTTCCACCATAGGATTCTTCTTGTAATGCTCCACCAGATCCGTCAAAGAGTCAAACCGCTCTCCTCCACCTACATCATATTTCAGTTCCTTTCAAAGTAAAAACACAATTCTTACTACCTTGATGTTAAATTGCTGTTTTTCTCACACTCTCATCATCACTGCAAAATAATCCACAGCAACCGGCATATGGAAACAAGCAAAGTTGTCCATACAGAGGAAGGATTTTATATATGGGGGGGATATATTTCACATCACAGTGAAATATTACTCAGCCTTTGTTTAAAAAAAAAAAAAAATGAAATCCTATCATTTGCACCAACCTGGATGAATCTGAAGGACACAGTTAAATGAAATAAGCCAGGCACAAAAACACAAAGACTGTGCGTCCTCACTCCCATGTGGAAGGCCAAGCTCATAGTAACAGACAGTAGAATGGTGGCTATCGAGGACTTGGGGTGGGGGAGGAAGGGGGCTACTGATCAAGGGTATATACCTCCAGGAAAATAAATAAATCCTAGAGATCTAATGCACAGCATGGTGACTACAGTTAATAACTATGTCTTTTTTTTTTTTTTTTTAGTTGCTGATGGACCTTTATTTTATTCATTTATTTATATGCAGTGCTGAGAATCAAACCCAGGGCCTCACATGTGTTAGGCAAGTGCCCTGCCACTGAGCCCCAGCCCCAGCCCCAGCCCAATAATCATGTCTTATATACTTGAAATTTGCTAGAGAGTAGATCTCAAGTGTTTTCACTAAAAAAAAAAAAAAAAAAAAGGCAAAAGGCCACTGTGTAAGGTGATGGATACACTAATCAGCCTGAAATAAAAAACTAAGATAGCTGTTATTACCAATCAAAGCCCAGAAACGGACTCTTCCCCCAGAAATGGAAAGTCAAACAGCTGTGGCAGTAGGAAGGGTAGGAAGCAACAGGAGGACTGGAAGGGACAGGCTCAGCAAAGCAAGCATGGGATGGGGACACGATGTGGCTCATTGGAAGACACATCTCAGTATTCGCAAGGCCCTGGCACCAAAAAGACAAATAAAATAAAACGACATAGTACTTGCATATAACCTACACACATCCTACGTATACTTTAAACCATCTCGATGTGACTTGGATATCTAATACACATAAATGCTAGGTACACAGCTGTAGTACCGTATCACTTAGGTAACAATAAAAGGAAAAGTCTGTATGTATTTAGTACGATGCTATCTTTTGACCCCTAGTTGGCTGAATTCACAGAAGCAGAACGCACAGATACAGAGGGTCAAGTGTCAGTGTCAGGCTGGGCTGAGGAGCCTAAGCAGGAGCTGGACCCAACTCTTTAGAAAATGGGCCTTGGAGACAGACTCCAGCTGCCCTGCACAGAGCAGATCAGACACTGCAAGAGGCAATGCACCCCAGACACAGGCGAAAATAAACAGTTATGAAACAACGAGAGCACTCTAATAAACAGTATACCACAACAGTGGAAGGCCTTGACCAAGTGAGCAAAGGAAATCTGATTTGGGATGTAACCGCGTCTGTCTTCTCCCAGCAGAAAAATCACCCAAGGATGACATTTCCCCAGACCCGTAGCAGACTCAGAGCAGGACTGGAGCGTTACCTGGCAGCGAATCATGACGTGGGTCACTTTAGACTTGCTGTCATTACTCTCCCCTTTGTCATCGCCAGTGCGGACGGAGAGAACAAAATCTCCAGGGTGGCTCTGGCTCTCTCGCACAAGAAAGCTCCCATGTTTCCCCTTCTCAGTTAGTAATTTCTCTGCTTCTTTCCCAGAGAGGTGACCATGAAACCACCTAAATTTTAAACAATGAAAATGAAAGAACTGAGGTCAGCCATGGGCTCACAATATTCTTTCACAAAACTACTAAGAACAGTCAGGTCTTCTAAGTACAATTGACAAACAGACACATTCCTCCCAGGGATCGACAGATCCTGCTGGGTAGAATCTGCAACCCAAGAAGACAGGAAAAGGGACAAAGGTGTTAAGAATGACTTCCAGGACTGGGATATAGCTCAGTTGGTAGAGTGCTTGCCTCACATGCACAAGGCCCTGGATTCAATCACCAGCACCACCAAAAAAAAAAAAAAAAAATGACTTCCAAATGCCTTAAACAGGCCACAGTCATTTGGAGACACATGTCCTCAATGTTTGCTTTTTTTTTTTTAAGTCTCCTATCTTTTAAAAATAAAAGTCACCATTTTGTCATTGACAGCTGTTTAATCACAGCCATTTAAAAACATTAGAAACAAGCTTTGATGGACACAGGAGACCATTGTGAGTGTTTGGTCTTGTGTTGTGTTGACATGTGATCATTAGATAAAAAGGGTTCTTCATCATCAATTAATTCAAGCATTCCAAATTTTTCCATATTTTTAAGCTATACTTCAACGGCTTCCAAATTTGCTGTCAAGATACTAGGTTATCATGTCAAATTTTAATGCATATCGGACTTGGAGTAGGGATGAAAGAGTTTTCTAAACATATGAATTCCAGTGCCCTACAACCAGAGATAGCAACAAACGTTTCATTAAGTTTGAATAGGGTTCAGGAGCCTGCATTTTAACTAGCATGCCTGAAATAGAGCATCCAAGGTCATCCAAGAACAGACTCTGAGACAATACTGCCTAAGTTATTATGGAGAACACCTTAACAAAGTCACATTAATGATGTGGCTCTCCCCTCAGGGTCTTAATAAGAAAGCAAGTGCTATGATAGCAGGTCAAGCTAGCAGCTCATCACTAAAGGAATGGGCTGAGTTCTTTTTCATCCACATTTCAAATGAAAAGAACAAAATATAGAAATAAATCTTATAGAGTTGGCTGACAGCTTTTGGCTTGAAGCTACAGTGGTAGCTGGAGAAACAAATTATCAGCATTAATAGCATTTACATAAAGATGTAAGTTGAAAAGACAGATCTGAAGATACACAATCTAGAAGACTAATTAAGAGACCCAAAATTTGCACTGAGTCAAGAGAGGAGGCTGGGAGGCTGGGGTGTCCAAAAACAATACAATCAATACAAATAAGTCAAGCCCCTGCCACCACCCCTCCCCCATCAGCATTTGGTTCCCTCTAAGCTCACATGTTAGTGGATACAACATGGAAAGAATGGATGAAAAGCCAAGTCTCTGAGCTCTCCGCTTCTCCACTTCTGGGTTTAAACTGACATCTGTTGGTGGCATTGCTGAATAACTGGTCGGGAGCCACCACAAAGAAATGCTGCTATTTTGACATTCCTATTATTATTTGTTTTCCTTTAATCACTTTCAAAGATCATCAGCTGAAGTTTGATACATCTTAAAACTACTGCATATCCCGAGTGTCTAGAGGAACATATGACCCTGGAGAAGAAGTGGAACAGGATGGAAGCTTTTGCAAGGAAAGGGCACTGACAGCAATTTAGTCCTTTTTTTTTACTTTAATAATATGTTAGGATTACAGCCGGAGGAACAGGTACCAACCAGCCTTTGGCATCATACAGACCCCGTAGACCCCAACAACGTATTCGTGTAACACAGGCACAGGAGGGCTGCAGGCTTTGTGGTCACCAAGATGCCACTGACCTTTCAGAGGTAGGGTCTGCACAGTTCAGTGGATACTTGAGCTCGATAACATCTCCGTTTTTCTCTTTTAATTGCCCATGGTGCTCCATGTAATACTGGACCAGTTCAGCCAGGGTGGCAAACTTCTCCCCTCCGTACAGGTCATAGTAGTCACCAGTGTTCTGAATCTTGATGTGGGTGACAGCTCCATTTCTTCTAAAATAGTCCATTGGAAAGGGGGAAGAAAAAATAAATAACGAGCTGTACTAGTAAAAAAAGAATCTCATGTTCAATATTAGATTTCACCTAAACATTGAAACAAACCCCACCCACAAAAGGAGGTAAAAAAACTTAGTCGACCATCTCAACCCCAAGGGCTTTGTTTATTAGTTTCTGTACACTGTATACCTTCTACTTTGAATGATATGACCCATTTAATTGTAAATATTAAGTGACAATGATTATTATCATCATTAATCAAGTACACATATAATTAAAAGTTAAAATTAAACACACACCTACCTTATAATCCTGCAAATCCACTCCTAAGTATTTTATCCCCAAAGAAAAGAAGTTGAATAGGCACAAAGGACTTGATTAAGAATATTCACTGCAGCCTTATTCATAATAGAAAAATTTCAACACTTAAATATTCACTGCAAAATTACATAAAAAAAAGTAGTGGCTCACTCATACAATGGAATAGCACACAGCAATAAAAAAAAAAAAAAAGAAAGAACCTCCAAGACATATAATGTGAAGGAATCTCAAAAACGTGTTGGGAGCTGGGGTTGTAGCTCTGTGATGGAACACTTGTCTAGCAAGTGTGAGGCACTAAGTTGATTCTCAGAACTGCATATAAATAAATAAATAAAAGGCCCATTGACAACTTAAAAAATACTAAAAAAAAAAAAAAAAAAAAAACTGGGGGGCACTGGGGCTGGGGCTCAGTGGTAGAGCACTTGCCAAGTATGTGTGAGGTACTGGGTTCGATTCTCAGCACCACATAAAAATCAATGAATAAAAATCAAGGTTCATCCACAACTGAAAAAAAAAAAATGAATAAATAAATAAAACAAACATTATTTTAGGCTGAGAGTATAGCTCAATGGCAGAGCATTTGCTAGCACACCCAAGGCCCTGGCTTCAATTCCCAGCACTGCAAAAAGAGAGAGAGAGAGAAGCCAGACATATACTGTATGATTTCATTTTTATGAAATTACACAAACAAATTGGCCTATGGGGATATAAATGAGAATAGTAGTTCTCTCTTGCGGGAAGGAAACTGGAAAGGGGCACAAAGGAGTTTTCTAGGTTGGAAATGTCCTATATTTTGATTATGGAGTATTGGATGCACAAACAAATATACTTGTCAAAACTCACTATAAATTTATGATACTATATGTAATTATATCTTTAAAAATTACTTTAGGGGCTGGGGCTTTAGCTCAGTGGTAGAGCACTTGCCTTGCATGTGTGAGGCACTGGGTTCAATTCTCAGCACAACATAAAAAAAATTAATAAACAAAGATATTGTGTCCATCTACAACTTAAAAAAAAATTTTTTTTAATTACATAAGGGCTGGGGGTGTAGCTCAGTGATACAGCATATGCTTAGAATGAAAGAGGCCTTGGCTCTGATCCCCAATACCACATACATACACACACACACAAACCCACATTAAATACCCATATAATTAAGAGAGTTTCCAGCAGGAGATAGCTAATTTGTCATCCCCAAATTCTTCTAAAACTTGACATTTTGAAAATAAATACTCACTGAGATACCATTTCTCACCTGACTGGCAATAAAACAAACAAACAAAAAAAAAAAAAACTTGCCACATTCAACTGGTCAAGCTGTGGAAAAATCAGGCATTTTCATACACTGCTGGTGGAAATGTCCAAGCCCTATTGAGGACAATTCGAAAAAACTATATGCATACACCCTCCTCATCTCATTCCCAGGAATTCACCTGAACGTGTTATTTCCAAAAGCACAAAACAACATGTGCACCAGGTTATTATGTATATTTCATCAAGGCTTTATATACATATTTCAAAATATGAGAGACAACTGAAATATTGGAGACAACTACATTGCCATCTGTTGGAGATTATACAAAGAAATTAAGGAATATCCACACAATAAGTACTGCACAGCTGTTAAAAAGACAAGAAAAATTACGAATCTATAAGTGAAAATAAAAAATAGAAGGAAATATATTTAGTATTATACTTCAACTATAAAAATGAAAGAAAAATGAACATTATGTTACCCTATTACTGTGTGTAATTTTCATGTTTTTATGTATCAATTTAAAACAAATGTAATTAAGATCATGGTGTAAGCTGAAAATAATAAGAAAAAGTATATTTGCTTGTTTTTATGAAAAGAAACACAATGGATAAACCAGCAATTAGTGGAAATTTATCTACAGGGATGCATGGAGATAGTATGCAAGGGGTCACAGAGAGAAGAGTGAAATTTCTCAGAATAAATCTTTCTATATAGTTTTGATTTCTGAATTCTATACGCTTCAAAAACTCAAGAAATAAAATCAACAAGGACCAAAAGGCTGAATATCAACAGAAAGAAATGAGCCAACCTGTGTAGTAAGTTCATGACAACCACGAAAATGAATTCCAGTAAGTTTTGAACACAGTACTTGTACCCTTAGTCTAAGAACAAAATGAGTCCAAAGTAATCTTGAGCTTACTTAAAAGGCTTGTAAAGAAACAACAGTGGAGCCGGGCACAGTGGCACACACCTACAATCCCAGCGTCTCGGGAGGCTGAGGCTGGAGGATCACATGTTTAAGACCAGCCTCAGCAACTTAGCAAGGCCCTAAGCAACTTAATGAGCCCTGTCTCAAAAAACAAAAGGGACTGGGGATGTGGCTCAGTGGTTAAGCACCCCTGGGTTCAATCCCCTCCAAAAATGACAGTGCTATAGTAATTCTGAAAACTATTTTATATTATAGAACTGGGCAAATGAGGTCACATATTAATGCTATTGAAAACAACAGTTGTTGCTGCAGAAGGGAAATACAAATGCAGAATGGGAACACATGAGGAAGTTGGGTTGATCTGGAACTAACCATAAGAACACCTGGTTTCAAATATATAAATACTTACTTCCCAGCTGGATCCATTCTCTGTAGGAGCCTAGAGCAAGACATCAGGAATAAAGACACCCCTAACACTATTGTTTCTAAATACCCCACTAAAAGAATCAAGGTTTATAAAATAGATGATCCTAGCATCAAATAGAACCAGAAAGCAAGGAAGTAATTGAGACTACTGGAGAAATGTCAAAAGTTATAGGAGCAACACTGGCCAAAACTGGGGCAATTGGAACATTTAAACAGAATGAGAGCCAGGCACGTTGGTGCACACCTGCAATCCCAGCAACCAGGGAGGCTGAGGCAGGAGGATTCTAAGTTCAGGGCCAGCGTTAGCAACTCAGTGAGAGCCTGTCTCTAAATAAAATATTAAAAACGGCTGGGGATGTGGCTCAGTGGTTAAATGCATCTGGGTTCAATTCCTGGTACAAAAGAAAGAAAGAAATGATACTACTGAATTTAAAACACATTGGCTAAAAAGAAAACATCCTTAGGTATCATTATGGTTATACTCAAAAATAAAAAGGGGCTAGAGCTGGAGTGCAACTCAGTGGTAGAATGCTTTCCTAGCATGCAAAAGGCCCTGGGTTCAATCCTCAGCACTGAAAACACTAGGCAGACTTAGGGACTGACTTGAGTACCTCTTTACAGAAGAATACCAATGAGTAAATATTGAAGAAATAACAAATTTAAAAATAGTGAATTTTCAATTGCCAATATAATTTACACAGATAAAATTCATCAATAATAAAACTTACTACACGAAAATGTGCTAGGAGCCAGGCCTGGTAACATATACCTGCAATCCTAGCAACTCAAGAGGCTGAGGTAGGAGAATGACAAGTTTAAGGGCAGCCTGGGCAACTTAGCAAAACCCTGTCTCAAATTTTTTTAAAAACAGGCTAGGAGTATAGCTCAGTAGTAGACCACTTGCATGTGTGAGACCCTGGGTTCAATTATTATGAATAGAAAAAGGTAATTTTTTTTTCAATACTGGGGATTAAACCCAGGGGTGCTTTACCACTGAGCTACATCCTCAACCCTTTTATTTTTTATTTTATTTTGACACAGGGTCTCACTAAATTGTGTAGGCTGGCCTTGAACTTGTGATCCTTCTGCCTCAACCTCCCATGTAGCTGAGATTAATAGGCCTGCACCACCGTGCCAGTGGAAAAAGGTAACTTTTATAATGGAAAAATCTAGCAACACTATTACCTAGGTGACTAAACTGAATTCCTCAAAGATAGGACAAACATATATTATGTACCTTCTGATGTGAAATAATGGGATGGACCCAACTTCACCTATTATTTGCTTACTAAAAATGTTTAATCTAAGTCTAAAACTGAGGAAAAAATCAGAAAATCCAGACTGGGGGACAATCTGGAAAATCAAAAGGTCAAAAACTAAATTAAAAAGACCAGGAGAGGGAGTTCTTCTAGATTAAAGGAAACCAGTTACATGGAGTGAATGATCCTCAGTTAGCTATCTGAGGCCTTTAAGGATTTTGAACTGTTTTAAAACTTATTATTCACTGGTACGGTGGCACAAACCTGTAATCCCAGCAGCTCAGGAGGCTGAGGCAGGAGGATAGTGAGTTCAAAGCCAGTCTCAGCAATGGTGAGACGCTAAGCAACTCATTGAGAATAACTAAAGTACAAAATAGGGCTGGGGATGTGGCTCAGTGGTGTTCAATCCCTGGTACCCAAATAAATAAATAAAACCTATATTCTCCATAAGTATGTACAATTACTATATGTTAATTCAAAATTCAAAAATTTGGGGCTGAGAGGTTAGCTCTGTGGTAACCTTGCCTAGCATGCATGAGGCCCTAGGTTCAGTCACAAATTCTGCCCCACCCTCCAAGAAAAAGAAGTTCAGGGGGAAAAAAAACGCATATTATACACATTTAAAAAGAGAAAGAGCTGGGGGTAGGGGAGCCTGGGGTTGTGGCTCAGTGGTAGAGCGCTCACCTAGCATGTGCAAGGCCCTGGGTTCGATCCTCAGCACCACATAAAAATAAATAAAATAAAGGTATTGTGTCCAACTACAACTAAAAAATAAATATTTTTAAAAAGAAAGAGCAAATATGGCAAAATGTTAACAGGTGAAAGGAGTACGGGTATTTATTGTATTCATTTTGAACTTTTCTATAGATCTAAAATTTCTCAAAATAAAATTTCAGGGGAAAGAAAGAAAAAAACAAACAAACAAAAGCTGGTTCCACGGTGTGCCTCTGCTTACCATCGGTGAGACTAGTTTACTCACTTAACCTCTGTGCCTCCGCTTCCTGTAAAATGGAGATAACAGTGGGGCCACGGGGCCCTAGCTCAGTGCTGGGGTGCTTGCCTAACACACGCTGGGCCCTGGGTTCAATCTCCAGCACTGCAAAAAGTGAAATAAAGCTGCATCACACTTCAGTGTAACTACTGAGGTCTAACTAACCCAGCCCAAGGTTTTGAAAAGAAGGATAATAGTGGTTCTTATTCACAGGTCGTTGTGAAAATTAAATAAAATGTGTAGTGTACTTGGCACAAGTATATGGTGTATATCAGTCCCCAACAGTGTTCGCTGTGAGCTCCTCACTGTCATCACTGCTGTTACTCTAATTGCACCCAAACCATTACAGCTTAAATGTCACATAATGTCAGGTTACAAATCTGTGCTGAGGCCAGGTGCTGTGGTGCACACCTGTAATCCCAGCTACTCAGAAGGCTGAAGCAGGAGGTTCAAGGCCAGCCTTGGCAACTTACTGAGAAATTAAAAAGTAACTAGAATTTTGGAAAAAAAATTTAAAGGTTAGGTGTATAACTAAATAGTAAAGCAAACTATAGTTTGAATTCTACACACACATGCATAGGTACAGAAACCAACAGGGGAGGGGTTCAGTGAGAGGACATGTGCTTAGAATGCTCAAGGCACTGGGTTCAATTCCCTGCACATTAAAAAAAAAAAAAAAAAAAAAAAAAATTCTGTGCTGAGACAAGACCAGGAAACTCACAAAGGCTTTTACCCACTCCTTATAGTAAAACGGAAGTAAAAGCTAGTGGCAGGGACTCCTCAAGAAATTAATCTATGCCAAAAAGGCACTTCCTGACTCTCAAAGAGATCCTAAATAAATTCTCAAGAACATATCTTATTTTCCTCTGTATTTAAAAATAATATTGATAGATAGGGCTGTGGCTGTAGCTCAGTAGCAAAGTGCTTGCCTAGCATGTGTGAGGTACTGGGTTCGATCCTCAGTACCACATGTAAGTAAATAAATAAAAATAAAGGTTCATCCACAAATTAAACTATATATATTATTTTTAAAATAATATTGATTACAAAATCAAATTCATAAAGCAGTTCAGTTCTAGTTCCTAGAAGGAGCTAATGTAAGGAGAATAAGAACATAAGTGAAAGTCAACTGCTAGAAAAAATATCTCCCAACACCTGCTCAAGGAGATGTGTAAAAGGATGCTCAATATAGTTTTATAAACTATTTTTTAAAAAACTGAAAACAACCTACTGTCCATCACCAGGAGCCTGGATAAACTGGTATGCTCAACCATTTGAGTACAAAATCGCCATTAAGGTGAATAGTTAGATTTATAGGCACCAGCATAGAACTAAAACAAAATGCTTTTAAAGTTGCAAAATGGTACATACATTACAGAACTATTTCTACAATGAGCGCTGAAAACACACAAGCCAACTTCAGATGGTTCATACATGGTACAAACACAGTCAAGTACAAAAACATGTTCTTCAGGAAGGATCTATGCCAACCTCTGGATGGTGGTTTCCTCTGGAGAGAGAGGGAGGGAAACGGGACTGGGCAGGGGAACAAAGGGGACCACAACTTCCTCAGAAATGTTTTATTTAACGAAGGAAAGCCATCTGAAGAAACTTCACAGTCTTTTTCTCATGAAGGACTCAACAGTAAGGAAAGGGAACCTGCAGGGCCAGGTTCAAGACACAGGAGCCAGAAGCCAGCAGGGGAGGGCTGCAGGATGTGCACCATCTGCCCCACCTGGGCTCGGTGGTCCCTGGGCAGGAGAAATGCCACCACCTCACTCCAGGAGGCTCCAGCAGAGTCCCATGAGCAGGCCAGGGTCCCACAAGGCCCCACAGCTGGCAGAAGGTGGCCTTCAAGCTCTAATGAGGACAGCAAGTGGCTTTAGCAGTGCCTACCTGGACTTGCAACTTACCGAACAGAAAGTGTGAAGTCTCCAGGGTTACTTTTACTGGGCCTTGCCAAAAAGCTGCCATCGACGCCTCTTGTCAACAGTAGATTTTCGGCCTCCACACCAGTGATATTTGGGTGAAACCATCTTGAAGGGGAAAAAAAAAAAAAAAAACAGTAAAAAACAAAGGCCTGTGTCAGCTCTGCTCTCCATGCCATAGCAGCTGAGCTGCACGTGGGTGGCCAAGAGAAACAGGCACGGCCCCCCTGCCCCTGTCCCCTGCTCCTCGGCTGCCCCGCCCCACCTCTGCAATCACAGGGGCCAGGGATCCTTCTGGCACAGTGGTAGGTAGGACAAGGGGCATGGTCAGTAGGACTGGGCCTGGGGCTATTCAGATGGCACACTAATGGGACCAGGCCCCAAAAGAAAGTCCACATGGTCAGAAACTTGGTAGACAGAATGAGATTGGGCAAACAAGTTAGTAAATAAACAGATTATTTAATAAATAAGTAAACACATTGAGGGTAATGGGAGCCAGGTTTCTCACCACTGAGGGGGAAACACAAATGTTACGAGAAAGCCAGAATAAACACTGAGCGTAAGATGGCGATTGGAGCTATCAGCATACATTCTAAACGTATGTAGAAAAACCAAAATGGGGGGCTAGCTCAGCAGCAGGGGATGTGCTTAGCATACTCAAGACCCCGGGGTTCAACCCCAGCACATAAAAAGGAAAGAAAAAGCATATATGCTTCCGTGTACATATACAGGTATGTACACACACACAAACACACACACACACTCTCCCAGTTCTCTGAAAAGCCTCGGAAGCAATAATACCCCAGTACCAATCAGCATACCTAACACCCTCATCTGAGTTTTCTCACACCATTCTCCCATAAAAGGAAGGGCCCAAGGCTGATTCCAGGGCTGAGGCAGTGAAAGGAAGAAGATAAGCATAGAAATTTTATTTTGTGACAGTGAAAAAGCACTCCAGCCAGGAACAGTGTGCACGCCTGTGATCTCAGCAGCCTGGAAGGCTGAGGAAGGAGAATCCCAAGTTTGAGGCCAACCTCAGCAACTTAGTGAGGCCCTAAGTAACTTGGCAAGAGACCTTGTCTCAAAATAAAAAGTAAAAAGGGCTGAGGGGGGTGGTGGCTCAGTACTAAAGTGCCCCTGGGTTCAATTTCTGATATCAGAAAAGAAAAAGAGTATGGCAGACAACTTGAAGGGCCTCCCACTGGCCAAAGTAGGGGCAGTAAAAACAAATTAGAACCCATGAAGAAAAAGGTGCCCTGGAGAAGTCACACCAGAGACGAGCAGAATGACAGCTGCAGGAGCTCCTGGTACCACACCATGGGAAGAGGTGGTGGCGGTTCACATGTCAGTTAGAGAAGATGAACGCGGTCTAGAGATGGATTGGGGGGGGGGGGTGGCGGTGGGAGCACAGCAGATGAATGTGCTGATCCCCAGAAATGGCAAAAATGGTCCACTTCAGGTTATAGATATTCTGCCACAACAAAAAATGACACACGGGAAAATTTTGCAGCAGAATCACAAACAATAAGTATGGAAAGAGTGGAAGAATTGGAACATCACCATCTGGAAGTCATATTAATACTTCAGGAATCACTACTAAAACTAGTGGGTGAATATCTCAGAAAGAACAGGATATTCAATTGCCAACACAAAAAAATGAAAATAAAAAAGGAGAAACATGATATTGACAGCAATTCACTCAGAGTGCCTCCCCACAAAATGCTTTTTTTTGAAGGGAGGGATACAAGGCGTTGATCCTAGGGGTACTTAACCACTGAACCACATCCCCAGCACTTTTTTATTTTGAGACTGAATCTTAAGGCCTCACTAAGTTGCTGAAGCTGGCTTTGAACTCATGATCCTCCTGCCTCAATCTCCTGAGGCCCTGGGATTACAGGTGTGCACCACCACTTCTGGCAAAAATGCTTACTTTTAAAAAATAATAAATGGTAGTGCACGCCTATAATCCCAGTGTCTCAGGAGGCTGAGGCACAAGGATCCCAAGTTTGAGGCCAGGCTTAGCAAAGCCTAAGCAATTTAGTGAGACTCTGACTCAAAATAAAAATAAAAAGGGCTGGGGATATGACTCAGTGGTAAAGCACCCCTGGGTTCAATCCCTATCAGAAAAAAAAAAAAAATGCAGTGGAAAAATTTCGCAGATATTTATCTTAAAGAATTAGCAAAAGTTATAGATTAAAATGACATTATGGAGGGGGGATAGTAGAGGATAGGAAAGGTAGTAGAATACAACAGTTACTAATATGGCATTATGTAAAAATGTGGATGTGTAACCGATGTGATTCTGCAATCTGTATTTGGGGTAAAAATGGGAGTTCATAACCCACTTGAATCTAATGTATGAAATATGATATGTCAAGAGTTTTGTAATGTTTTGAACAACCAATAAAAAAAATAAAATAAAATAAGGAAAAAAAAAAGAAAATGCACAACTCAAAAAAAATAAATAAATAAAATGACATTATGTCTCCTGATACAATACAATGAGAATACAAGTGTTGTCTCTGTGATATTCCTGCCAGAACTATACTACTTGAATCTAATGATGAGGAACACCAGGCAAATTCCAAATAGGTGAGTCTACAAACTATTAGTGTGGACTCTTCACAAATGTCATAACCATGAATGCCTGGGATTGACGGGGGAAAAGCATCCAGATTAAAAGTCAGTAACAAGATACCAAATGTAACGCAGGGCATGATCCTAGACAATAACATGTATCAGAAAGAAAGGGGTAAAAGGGAAGAAGAATATGTTCGTTTTGTCTTTTGTGATACAGGACATTACTGGAACAGTCTAAAAGGGGTCTAAGGATTTGATGGCAGGACTATTCTAATGACAATTCTGATGATGTACTGTGATTATGCGACCAAGTATCCTAGTTTTTAGGAAATACACACTGAAGCATTTGGGCAATGAAAGATCATGTCTGCAACTTATCTCAAATGGTTCAGGGAAAAAAAAATTATATACATAGTACATATATATATAAGTATGTAGAAAGTGGGAGACTTGGCAACATGCTGCATTGGCGACTGGTGTATCTGGGTGAGAAATAAACAGAATTCTCTGCATCTTTTGTGTAGCTTTGAAATTACTTCAAATACAATGTTTTTAAAAACACACATCTATCCTGGGTGGCATTTGCAGCAAGATTCCTTCAAAGATTTCAAAAGTCACCAAGAATTGGAGTAAGAGAGTAATTTCTAATGTCAAATTATTCTAAATCTTTCCAGGCTAATTCAATGCTTCTCAATACTCCCAGGAACCTAAGTCAATATTAAATGTAGAGTCCCAGCACTGACAAGCAAATGGACTTTCAAGAGACTCTCAACAAACACTGGCCCAATTAGAGTGCTTCCCGACAGTGGAGGAGAGGGTGCGAGCGGGAAGAGGTGTCCCACATCCTGCAGGGAGGACGCGGAGAGCCATGGGGACTCCCTAGAAACACACCAAAGCTCCACGCTTACTAACCCCATGACCTGGGCAAGTTCTTTAGCTCTTTCTACCTCACGTTTCTCCTCTATAAAATGACAGTTTTTTTTTAAGAGGAAGCAGAAGGCTGGGGTTGTAGCTCAGCAGTAGAGCATTTGCCTAGCATGTGCAAGGCACTGGGTTCAATTTTCAGCACCATATATAAATAAATGAATAAAACAAAAATCCACCAACATCTAAAAAATATATAATATTAAAAAAAAAAAGAGTAAGCTGAGAGCTGAGGCATACTGACACACGCCTATCATCACAGCTGAGGCAGGAGAAACTCAAGTTCAAGGCCAGCCTCAGCAACTTAGTGAGACCATGTCTCTGAAAAAAAAAAAAAAAAAGGTCTGGGGATGTGGCTCAGTGGTAACATGCCCCTGGGTTCAATGCCCAGTACACACACTCCAAAAAAGAGTGAGCTAAGAATCCAGGGCATATGATATACCCCAGTGATAGGGCACATGCCTAGCATGTGTGAGGTCCTGGATGCAATTCCCCAACACAATGGGGGAAAAAAAAAAAAGCATGTTTACACTGCTATATAAGAAAAATTCATACAGTGGACTATTACTCAGTCATAAAAAGGAATGAAATACTGATAAATGTTATAATCTGGATGAACCTTGAAAACATGTCAAGTGAAAGAAGGCAGACACAAGAGGACACACATTGTATAAATCCACTGATATGAAATATCCAAATAGGCAAAGCCACAGAGACAGAAGTAGGACAATGCCTGCTTAGGGCTGAGGGACGAGAGAGGATGAGAGGGGTAATGGCTAAGGGATTGGAGGTTTCTTCATGAAATTAAAAAATGTTCTCAAATTGTGGTGATCAATATGTGGATATATTAAAAACCACTGATTAAACTTTAAATGGGTGAACTGTATGGTATGTAAATTATACTCATGGAATCTAAGAATTATTTGAGATAATAGAAGAGAAGGGCCTACTAAATTTATTTCCGAAACAAACACAGAACAACTACGGGGCATCTAGGCACTGAGGACACCCAGTTAGCAAAGTCTCTGCCCTCAGGGAGCTTTCTTTATAATGGGAGGAAAGAGAAAATTAAGGTAAGCAGATGAAATGTCAGATGATGCTCTAAACAGGAATGAGACCAGGTGAGGGGACTGAAGCGGGGAGAGGAAGTGGAAGCTCCTTAGGCAGGTGGCTAGGGGTCCTGGATGGTAAGGCAGCAGCTTTCTCCAGCACTGGGGGCCTCCCACAGGCTAGCAGGCACTCCACCCCGGAAGGCAACACCATATCAGAGATGTGGAAGGAGTGGCAGCTCCTGCAGACACTAGGAGAGGACCACCCAGGCAGAGGGGGAAGCAAGACAAGGGCACAGGCAGGGCACGGGCAGACCAGGCCTGACCACTCAAGCAGGAAGCAGTAACACTGGAGCAAGGCAGACAAGCGCAGGGACAGGAGAAGCAGGGAGGCTACAAAAGGCCTGAGAGGGCACTGCCAAAACCTAGCCTTTATTTTTTGTGAAATGGAAAAGAACTACAGGGTCTAAGGCGGAGCAGCACCAGGATCTGACTTCACTTTTAAATGACCCTTCAGGTTCCTGTGTGAGAGCAAGGAGAGAAACACACCCAGCA